TTTTTCTTCGTATATCTTTTAAAATAAATTTTTATCCGAGAGAGAGAGAGAGAAAGAGAAAGAACGAGAGAGAGAGAGATAGAAAATTAAAAATAAATATTTACGGTTTCAGGTGTCCAAATAGCATATATTTCAATAATTGGAGCTCAATTATTTATGATTTTATTTAGTATTATTCTTCTTATCGGAATATTTAAGGTAAAAACATTTAAGAAAATAATTTATTATAATAATAATAATAATAATAATTTCGTTTTACAAAAATAAAAAAAATTTTCTCTTAATTTTAAATTATAATTATTTTATACACTCAACATTGATTTTTTTTTTTTTTTTTGTAAAACAAAGAAAATGCAAACAACTTTTCCCAAAGCTTTTTTAAAAACTTTCAGTTTAAAAAAAAAAAAAAAAAAAAAAAGCTTAATAATATTTTTGTAATTTGAAATTAAAATATTGTTTTTCTTTTGATGTTAAACTTTTTTTATTTTTTTTTGTTCAAATAATAAATCAACCGTTCATTATTTTATAATTTTAAAACGTATCGATTTTAATTTTTTTTTTTTTAAATAGGAAAAAACAAGTTTGATTGTGCCTTGGGTGATTGGTTTTATTGCATTGATGGCACTAGAAGCTGTATCTATGGTTTATTCAAACGTACTTAGAGATCATGTTAATAAGGTAAATAAATAAATAAATAAATAAATTTTGCCGTTTTAAATATAAATACGAAATTTAATTACGTTTCAAAAAACCCCGTATTTTTTAATTGATTCATTCGCGAGCGTTCTTTGTTTTAACTTAAATATTGGAAAACCATAAATTTAACACTTTTACCTTCAGTCGAAATAAATTAATTTATTATATTTTAATATACGCCCCCCTTTCCTCGCCTACCCTTCCCTCCCCTGAGATTTTCCAAAAAAAAAAAAATTTTAATTTAAATTTAAAACACACGCGGAAATTTTTAATCAAATTCTAAAAAAAAAAAAAATTACAAAGTAATTTAAAATAATAATAATAATAATAATAATGAAAAAGAGGAGGGAAAAAAAAATTAAATAAAAGTTTAAAGAAATCAATGTTTTGTTACCAAAGAAAATAAAAGAAAATTTTTTTTTTTTTTAAAGTTTTTAATCTTACAAGATTTTTCAATTAAACCTGAAGTATTTTAAAACTTTTTTCTTTTTTTTTTCTTTTTTCTTGTAGTAGCCCATAAAGATTTATATATATATATTCAAATAAAACATAAATTTTTATACTCAAAATTCTAATTAAATTCTATATTATTATGGGTTAACCGTAATTATTTAAACTTATTATTATAACAACTTTGTTGTCGATAATGTTTTTTAAAATCCTCTTACTAAAAATATTTATTATAAATATTATTATTATTATTATTATTATTATTATTATTATTATTATTATTATTTTCTAATAATCGGTTTTAAATAGTTGAAAGAAAATATTTTCAACAAACTACAACTACTTTGATGTTTTACAAGAAAACGGATACAAAAAAAAAATTAATTATTTCCTTTAACAAGTAAAATTTTCTAATTTAGGATTGAAAAAAAAAAAAAAAAAAAAAAAATTTTTTTTAAATTTTTCTTTCAGTATTTTGATGCTCTTTGCAAAGCGGAAATGGCTTTTTTTATAGCCAGAATTATTTTTAATGTAAGTATTTTTTATTATTATTTTTTTTTTAATTTTAGTAATTTTAATCGTTTTTTTTTTTAATTAATGAAAGTAACAGGAGTCGTAAAAAAAAATTTTTTTTTTTTTTTGTAATTTTATATAAAAAGAGTCCCTCTCTCTCTCTCTTTCTCTCTCATACAAAAGATAACGTAAATATTGAATATTGAATAAATTATATTAGGAGGAGGGACAAGGAGAAATGCTCGAGGAATTGATTGCCTTTGTATTTTGAATCCGAGTCGTAAAATATTGACAACATTTGACAACAGGATTCACGGTTAAGCCTATATAATTCCCTTATTACTTTTTTTTTTTTTTTTTTTTTTTGTTCAAATCCCTTCAGTGAAGAGATAAATTTAAATTTACGTATTTGTCCGTTTCCGTTTTTCATTTTTTTTTTTAATGAATGTGAACTTGTAAAATTTTTCAATCGACCGACTAACTGACAAATATTATTGTCATCATAAATATAAAAAAAAAAAAAAATCATTTTTCGATTTGGATCTATCATTTTAAAAAATTATTAAACGTGGTAAATTTTTTTTTTAACACGTGCATGTGACTCCATTTATATTTAAATAATAATAATAATTAAAAAAAAAAAAGAGAGATTCATTTGACGGCGAGTTACTAATAATTAATTATTATTAATTAAAATGCATTTTTTCAATTAACGAGACTAAAATTAATTGAGTATAATAATTAAATGAACTCTTTTTTTTATTACTTTCATTTAATTTAATTTTTTTCTTTTTTTTTCTTAATTAATCAATCATAATTTAAAAAAAAAAATTAATAAATTGGCTTTATA